CAGTATTCTAGGTGTAGATTCAGCGTGGAACCTTCTCAAAGGCAGTATTCTAATTGTAGATTCAGCCTGGAAGCTTCTCTTATGCTTGCACAGCACCTTAAATAAGATCAAGATGACACCAGTTGTTCGGGTAATAGGAAGAAGAGACTAACAGAAATGGTGGGGAACTCAAGTCTATTCAAGTGACCCCCTTGGCACTCCCAATGGTCAAAGCTCATCAACTAGAATACAGGCATATGGTTAATGTTTTTGATGTGATCTCTCCACCCCAGCTCACCCCACAACATACCAATCATGTCCACCCTTACCTTACCCTTTCCATGGAATTAAAGCCAGGATCCTGAGCCTCTATGGGTGACTCCCAATGAATGGCTGGCTGATGCTGGCCTTTGCATTTCTTGTACACCATCCATCCCCTTCCATCCAGATCAGAGTGACTGCTTTGGCCAATGAAACATGACTATGATGCAAGCAGAGCCAAGACAGGCACTTATACACTGAGGCTTAATCCCCTGGAAGGCTTCTCTTAGAGACCCAGTTGCTATGTAGGAAACCCAGACAAGACAGTACTGATGAGAAATCACAAGAGGAGAGGGATTCAACATCACAGCATCCTGAATAAGCAGACTCATGAGGAACTTGGGTGAGACCCATAGAATAACCTAGTGAAACCAAATAATTATGAGAAATAATCAACACCCGTTGTGTTATGTCACTGGGTTTGGGAGCTACTCCCAGGTAGCCATGAACACTGAAATGACTTCTGACATCTATCTCCTTATGAGCCTCACCAGTCTGTTCCCATCATCCTTCTGCTCTATATCCCATCAGTCTCCTGCTCCATATCCCATCATCCTCCTGCTCTATAGCCATATGATCCCGGTGATCTATATCCCATCAGCCTCCTGTTTCATATCCCATCATCCTCCTGCTCTATAGCCACATGAGCCTCCTGTTCCATATCCCATTCACCTACTGCTCCACATCCCATCAGCCTCCTGCTCTTTTCTCCTTTACTTCCTGCTCTTCCAGTGCCCTTGGGAATGGTGTTCCTTTCTGCTTCCTTCAGACTGTCATCCCTGTTGTACCCTGCTCTTCAAGTAGCCTCCAACCTGGGCTTTCAGAGAAAGTCTTGGAAACCATAACAATGGCATTTATCTAAATTTGGAAGGAATTGAGATAAAACTCCAATGAACAGATAAAGTGCCTATGTAACTGTTTACTTTTTCATATAAACAATATTTCCTGGTCATTTGTTATAGGTTCAGCACATGGTATTATGGTCATTAAATGCATTCTAGGGATGACCCTAACATCTGTTCATTGAGTCTTAAAAAAAAAGGTGGAACTAATGCTACTATTAACCCTTCTTGTTATAGAGATTTAAAAAAGAAAAAAAGAGAAAAGCAAATTATTTCTCCAAGCTCATTAAGCTAATTAGTAGTAGAGCCAAATAAGCTAAATAATATTCAGTCTAGCAGACATCCCTGTTTCCCTTTTCAGCAGCCTCTCCGATCTTCTGCTGACAGTCTCTTAGTTTCTTCTTTCTGATGAGTAGTTTGTGTGGGGTTAGCCCACTCCAACTCCATAAGTGGATCTCATCATCAGCATGAGGTATCAGAGTATTCCATGACTGGCCCACAGTAATTGGTTTCAGTTGGAATCGTGTTCAAGTTGGGATCCTAAAGTCTCCAAAAGCCATTGTTGAAGGTGTGGCCACCAGTCTAGGATGCTAGAGAGAGGTAGTAGAACCCTTGGGACATGGAGCCTAATATGAGGAAGTTAGGGCATTGGGAGCATGCCTTTGAAGGAGCTATTGGAACCCTGGCCCCTTCCTGTCTCTCTTTGCTTCCTGACTGCCATGAGATTAACAACTTCCTTCCACCAGGAGCTTTGACCATTCTGCCTCTCTAAAGGTTCAGAGCAATGCATCTAAGCAAACAAGGACTAAAGCCTTTCCGCTAGTGATTGTCTCAGGTTTTCGGTTTTTGTTTTGTTTTCTTTTGTTGTTGTTGTTGTTGTTTTGTCACAGCAATGAAAAGCTGACTAACACAGATTTCAGTCCCATTGGAGCCAATGGCACACAGAGAGATGTTTGCTAGTTCTTCTGGGAAGAGACACTCCTACAAAAGCTTATTAAAGAGACACACACACACACCCTCACCTTGTTTAGGTATGATATAAGGTGGCAAAGTCTGGAGCTGCTACAACCAGTTAGTATCTCTATAAAAGCTGGCTTGGTTTCTTGGTATCCCCTCCAGACGTCCCTGCAGTCAGGTTATTCTGGCCTGTGCACCCTATTCCCCTACCCCGCCTAATTTCTAATAAAAACTCACTGGATAGCTACTGGCTTGTATTCCCTGCTCCTGAGAGACTTCCCGGCAGTTTGTTCTGCATATCAAGTTCCAGCCCAGCCTGAGCTACATAGTGAGACCCTGTCTCAAACAATGGAAAAAAAAAAAAAAAAGACAGGAGGAAAAGGAAAGAAGGAAGGAGGGAGAGAGGGAGGAAAGAGAGAGGAGGAGGGAAGGAAGGAAAAATAAAGAAAAGAACTTGGAGTCACCATATAGAAACAAAGTGAAAAAACTACTGATGACTGAGAAATGGTATGGAACAAACTGGCTCCTTAATGATGTTTGAACAATTGGCTCAAACCTGGTCTGAATCTATCCCTAGCCCTAACTAGACACTTCAGTTATATGACAACATAAATTCCCTTGACTGTTTAAGTTGTTCAAATGGGTTTTCTGCTCCTTGCACCCAAAATAGTCCTGAGTATACATGCAGTGGCACTTCCAGATTCAGAGAATACCTGACTTTCTAGTTGGTTAGTAGCTAATCATAATAAACACTGGGAAGAGATAGGAACATACAGAAAAGTGGCTGACAAATTTTAATGCAAGTGAAATGAAAGGTAATTCAGTTAAAGAAAAAGTCTATACATGCTCATAAAATGTTATTAATGACAACTCTAAAATGAAATCTTGACCTCACTGTGAAACAGGATCAGCCAACTTTTTCAGCAAAAAGACAGCTAGCAATAATTTTGACATTCATGGGGCTAGAGAGATGGCTCAACAGTTAAGGGTACATACTGCTCTTCCAGAGGACTTCAATTTGATTCCTAGCGCCCATGTTAAGCAATTCACTGCAGCCTGTAAGTCCAGACACACACACACACACACACACACACACACACACACACACACACACACACCTACACTCACAAAATTAAAAATAATAAAATTTAAAATTTTTAAAGAATCTTGACCTCCACAGTTCAATCCATCAGAACTACTCAGCTCCCAAATATGTAAAAAAAATGGGTGTGACTGCGTCTAAAGAAAAGTAGAGATGCTGGAATTTGAATTCTATATAACTTGCACAAAATACAGTTGTGGTGGGTTTTTTTTTTATCATTGTTGTTGCTTTGTTTTTAATTAATTTTTATTTTTAATTCTGTGTATTTGTGGGTACCTGTATGTGAGTATGTGCACATGAATGTGAGTGCCCTCAGAGGCCAGAAGAGGAACTCAGATCCCCTGGAGCTGGAGCTACAGGTGGTTGTGAGCTACCTAATGTGGGTGCTGAAAATCAAACACAGGTCCTCTGCAAGAGAAGTACACTCTTGTAACCACTGAGTACCTCACCAGTCCCACAATTATTTTTCAACTCTTGAAAAACATTCTCCTAGTCTATAGGAGAACAAGCCACAGGGGATCCAGGATGTAGCTCAGTGGTATAAACTCTGGGAATACACACACACACACACATACACACACACACACACATACACACACACAC